CTTCTTTAAATCGCATGCCTTGCCTCTTAAATTCATACTACAGTTTTGAGAGGGGCACTTAAATCATACTGTACTCTACAGTCCTGTACCACTGAGAGGAGGCCAGCTTTTGTAGTGTGATCGTTGGGCTCTTTGCCGTTTTGGGAAGAAGACGTCAGCTTCTATTCCTCATAGAAACGTCCAGATTACCGAGTACTTTTGCTGGGTCACGTACCCATTTAGCTGGACTGTCCTTGACAGCAGGGTCGAATACACTAAACCGTTGATCTAAGCTGTATCGGTGAAGACGTAGAAACGTATCCACAATCACTAACATATTATATCCTCACATATTTTGACTTGTGAACATAGAAACAAATTAACACACAGACAAACACACATTTATGTATTTCATCTGTCCCCCCCCCCCCCTTCGTTCTTCTCATGTGGACGAGGACTCTTTATTTATTCTTGTAGTGTAAGAGATAAAAGAAAGAGTCATTAAAACCTGTTGCAGCACGTTAAAAAAGCTTCCCATAGATGTCGTGGAATGAAAGTGTCCATATACTCACAGCAACATTTCTGATCTGGTGACTTGCAAACCACTTGAGCATCTCAATAACGGCAACAAATGTCCTAGTTTTGTATTCTGAAATACAGAGTCAATGTTTTGTGTTCTGAAATACAAAGTCAAGGTTTTGAATGATGAGACTGAGAGTCAAGGTTTTTGTATTGAGAAATACAGAGTCAAGGTTTTGTATTTTAAAATTCATAGTCACGACATAAAGGAAGACGGGAGAAATAGCAAATATTAATATTCAATATTGTTTAAATCCAGACTTTCTTTGTGACTATTTCCATAAGCGCCTCAAAGCTCTTTTTAAAATCTATTTTTACCTGCTCTCTCTTTCTGTTATTTTTAGAAGTAATTAGTTATGTTGCTTTACAAAGCCATGCGAAGTTGAAAGATATTAACATCACCTGATTGAACTTGTTAAATGCATTGTGTGCAGAATTGTGCCCAGCGATCTAAGTAATTAAATATCTGATTGTTCGTGGGTCTGCATTACAAGCATGTGGGTGTGAAAGAAAAAGAGAGGAAGAGGAGGAGGAGTGTAGAGACTGATAGAGAAAAGGATAAAGACAGTATGCATGTTATGCTTGTATTTAAGATAGAAATACATGTATATTATAATATTACGTATCATAATATATGATACGGTGAGATAATGTGTATTTTGTTACGACGATGTAGTTTTGTAGTGAGGGTGCAATATTGCAGCAAGTGAAATGTCTGAGATTAATTAGGGAGTTTTTTCTGGGGGGGTTTAGGGGTAGGGGAGTTGTCGTACCAGGTAAGGTGGCCACTAGTCGCTGAAGTTCCTCTTTCAGTTGTGTGAGTGTGACAGTCCCTCCGACCGTTATACCGGTGTCACTTACGCTGACACTGGACAGCTCCGGGACATTCGTGGGACACAAGAGGGTCTTGTACTTCATGTTCTTGAATTTCGTTTCGACCCCTGGGTGGAAAAAATCATACAGAGTAACAGTATTTTACAAGTAGTAGTGGCAAACAGACATGAAGCAGACTGACGGATAGACAGATGAAGTGACGCAGGGAAAGATAAGTAAGGGGGAAAAGAACGCCTGTCAAGTTCTTTTTTTGCTATGGATTTGACTGTTATTTAATAGGGTTTCTTCTGGGTTCTTTTTATGGGGGGGGGGGGGGTGGAGGTAGGGGTGGATGTGCCAGGGAGACAGGGACGACCCGAAGAAACTTTCTTGAAAAACTTAAACAGATGGTAGAAAATATAAACTTTCATGACGCGTATAGTGATAATAAGTAAAGAGTTCCGTGCAATCGTACCAATTTCTGTGTTTCCAATGACGAGCTTCGCATCTGGATGTTGAGCTTTCAGTTCTGTGAGTTCCTGTAGGGTGCGTGGTTGAATCCACGAGGCTCTGTCTCCCTTGAACACAAAGGTATTACCCTTGTACGTATTGTGATTCACCTGAAAATTAAAATAGCGTAGACACACTATGACGGAGTGAAAGGTAATCTCCAATTGATCAAGAGCTACACTACAACTGTACATTTATAAATCACAATTAACAGAGCTTTTTAGGAGGCTCTCGTGTCTTAGGGGTTAAGGTGATCGCCTATCTTTCAATTTCAATAGGTCCCGGTTTCGATTCCGAATTGCGAGGAAAATGTTCTTTTCTAAAATGTTCTCCTTTTACATCATTTCCTGCTCTCTAACAATGTTCTGTCGTCTGCTTTCGTCTACACATTCTGCCCCCACCCCTCACCTCCTTTTCACCCCTCCTCTGGGCTCCTGACTCTTTCTGCAGCCTTTCTACTGCTTCTCCTTGACCCCTTCTTACTGCTGTCTTTCAGCCACGTCCCTGATCTTATGGTAGGAAAGATCTACACCTAGCCTTCTCGGACTAGGGCAAAAAATCTCGGAGGGCCCGTGTGGAAGTTGCGCACTTTAAAGATCTCTTGGTGGTCCAAAATTAATAAGAGTAGGCTTCAGCCGCCATCAAGGCAAAATTCAAAATTTCCTACCAATTGAAATCATAACAGCAGCGCTGTCAAAACTGAAGCCTATTTGGAAGGACAGAAACATCACGCTAAACTCGAAGACTGATGCGCTCACTGGTCATCTCAATATTTTTATCGCGCTGCTCAGTGGCGACGAGGCTCTTACAGGTCTCTGTATTTTGGATAAATTTTTACTCCTACTCAATTTCTACACGGTCTTGTGATAACTTATTTCTCACTATGAATCTTAAGTCTTTCAGTTGAGCCATATTTCTTGAGTCTTTGGGGTTTTTAAAAATTGTTTTAGTGTGTCAATGTAAATTCACCAGTGCAGTGTTTTGAGTGAAGCTCCACCATGGAGACAGACCTACAGTTCTGCCATGTTAAAACGCCTAAGACCGGCAGGCAGAAACAGTGTTTTCATTGTCGTTCTACCCCTTGAATTGAGACCACGTAAACGGGGAAGGAAGTGGGGAGTACGTTTCAGAGCTAGGTGAAAAATTGTTTAACCGCTTTTACCTGCACTCGTAGGCCTAACTACAAGGTCATTAAATAATAAAATGGATGAACTCTGTGCAAATGTTAGGTTCGTGCACGAGTATAGAGAGACTTCGCTTTTTTGTTTTAGCGAGACGTGGTCAAGGACAGTATTTCTACCAACGATGAGGACATTGACGGATTCCATCTAGTACGTTGTGACAGGACGATAGACTCTAACAAAGGCAATTTTCTAAGATAACAACCAACATTGTTTATATTCCACCACAAGCCAATGTTAAAGTCGCCACGGACACTTTGGTCGACAAGATTTATGAACAACAGTCTTCTTGTCCAGACGGTGAAATAATTATCACTGGGGATTTTAACAAATACTCTTTGACTTCTGCCCTCCCCACTTTCAATCAATATGTTAATGTACCAACCCGAGAGGACGAAACTATAGACCTATGATATGTAAATGTTTCTAATGCTTACAAATGTATCTCTCTAGCTCCAATAGGAAACTCTGATCATTGCAGTCTTTTTTATTACCGAAGTAAAAACCTAAATCGTCAAAGCCAATTAAAAAAATTGTTACCATCTGGAGTAAAAAAACAGGGAGAGCCTGAAAGGTTGCTTTGAATGTAGGAATTGGAATGTTTTAAAAGTTTGATGTAATAGTACAGATGAATTATGTGAGACTATCGCTGGTTACATCAGGTTTTGTGAAGTTCTACATTCATCCAAAAAAGAAGTTATCTACTACCCATGGGTTAGCAAGGAGTTAAAGGAAATATTAAATGAGAAGAAGAAGGAATTCAAACTGAAAGACCGAGACAAATTAAAAACAACAAATAATATGTTAAAGAAAAAATAAGAGAGTGTGAGCATGTTTACAAAGAAAAGTTAGAACAACATTTAATTTATTCACTTCTAACCACACAAAAAAATGACGTGGCAATGTTTAAAAACTATAGTTGGAGACACACCAAGACGGAAAAACATACCTACACATGACACGAACCCAAGTCAGTATGTAAACAAACTGAATTCTTCTTACGCTCGTTTTGACAACCTCGACTTCTCCGACCAGCTGACAACGTTCAAAGAGATGATTCAAAGTGATCGCATAGACGACAACAACAACACAGACGAAGACTATGACAAGAGCAAGGACATATTTTGTGGTTAATGTTAATGAGGTCAAGATCACATTTAATCGTCTGAAAGCTCACAAAGCGAGTGGACCCGATGGAGTAAAAAGTAAAATTATTAAAATGTGTTCTTTTCAGTTTTCTCCCATTTATACTGATATTTGCAATGTGTCTTTGAAAGATCGAATAATACAACTCTCGTGGAAATGCTCTGAAATAATACCTGTCCCTAAACAATCAATGCAAAATTTGAAAGACCTGTGGCTTTAACTTTAACATCAATCCTCATGACATGTTTCGAAAAACTGCTTCTGAAAGAACTGAGGAAATCAACAGAAGACATACTGGATAACATGCAATTTGCCTATCGTGCCAAGAGGGGCGTGGAGGATGCCATTTTCATGACGTTGTTAGATAACATCTGCAAACACATAGACACACCAAGAAATTACTGCAGGATACTTTTTACTGTTTTTTCATCCGCACTCAACACAATCCAACCCGACATAATGGTTTTAAAATTAATTAACATGAATATAAACAGGAACATTATAGCTTGGATTCTTGAGTTCTTAACCAATATGTAAAATTATGTAGTGTAAAATCCGACCTAATGTTCACGAACACCGGTGCACCCCAAGGTTGAGTAATCGCCCCAATCTTTTTTTACGCTCTACACCAACGACTGTACTTTAGATAACAAAAACATCCAACTAATAAAATTTGCGGATGATTCCACTCTACAAGGCCTTATAACAACAAATTAAAATGAATACAGGAACGCTGTAAATGTATTTACAAATTGGTGTGATACCACTTCCTTTTACTAGATGTAAAAAAGACAAAGGAATATATAATAGACTTTAGAGTTTTTAAAAAAACCCAATTGCAACCACTATTTATTAAAGATGAGGAAGTGGAGGTGGTAAGCTCTTACAAGTATCTTGGTGTAACAATTGATAACAAACTTGACTGTCATCCCCACGCTGCTCGTGTGCATAAAAAAGTAAATCAAAGAATGTTTCTTTTAAAGAAATTAAGAAGTTTCGGTGTTGATAATAAGATTATGTCCCTTTTATACCATTCTATGATTGAAAGTGTGCTATTATTTTGTATTTGCAGCTGGGGTGGGAATTGTAATGTGAAAGATAAAGAAAAATTTGACAGAACCATTAAAAAAGCCAGCGAGATCTCAGGATATGGTTTTACGAGAATGGATGAAATGTATAAACCACACGAATAAAAAAGATAAAAAGCATTATAAACGACCCATCACACCCCTTTTCCACGAAAATTGTAAGATCACGCAGCAGCAGATAGCCAAAAACAAAGAAATAAAGATATGAAAGAAGTTTTTTACCATCTAGCATAAGGCTTTTGTCAGAAGGAGTATAGACGTGTGTTGCTCTTTAGAGTATGTATCTATAATATATAGATCTAACTCCAAAGGTCTTGTAATTAAATTCCTGCATGTGGTTGAATGAGGCTTCTTGTGTGAATGTACATTTTGTCAGCTTTACTTCTCTTTTCATATTGAATTTTAATGAGAGTAATATATAATTGAATTTTTTTTATGTATGCCTACATGTGATTTTACGGTCCTGTACAGCCAAGAAAAAATTCCCACGGGGATAATAAAGCATTATCTTATCTTATCTTTATACCCCTGTGAGTCGTGGACACTGACAGCAGAATTGGAGAAAAGGATTCAGACAACAGAGATGAGACGTTACCGCAGACTCCTTGGCATCTCATACAAAGACCACATTTCAAATGCTGAGGTACGGAACAGAATCACAAACGCAGTGAGGCAGCATGAAGATCTTCTGACCACAGTGGAAAGACGAAAATTAAAATGGTATGGGCATGTCACAAGATCCACAGGACTTACCAAAACAACCCTACAAGGAACTGTACAAGAAAAGAGAAAGAAAGGAAGGCAGAGAAGGAGATGGGGGGACAACATCACAGAGTGGACAGGGAAGACGATGGGTGACAATCTGAGGAAAGCAGAGGGCAGAGAGAAATGGCGAAAGCTGATTGTCAGATGCAGTGGTGCCCCCACGATGACCCCAACCACGGGGTAGAAGAAGAAGAAGAAGAAGTATGGTTTCGTCTGGGTTCACAATCAAACACTGGTCATTGGTAACACACACGGGAATCAAACTCATGTCTTTCGCTCGCAATGGAGGAAAACCCTAACCATCACACTACCGACATCGGTGAAGACAATGCTAACACTACAAAAAGTAATTATTTGCATAGAGAATAAAAACAAAAATAGTTTGTTTCTGTGCCATATTATGGTTGTAAGTACTCATTGTCAATGCTCATTTACCTTCAGGTCCGGTGGAAAGATAGGTTCTTGGTCTGGATTGAAGGGCTTTAAGTCGGCGATCCGTGGAGCAAGACCCTGGGGAGTCAGTCAAGTCGTGAGACTAAAATAACAAGCTTCTCACTTGCAAATTTTAGTGTTGTAATAATTAGACGGTTTTTGGTAACCCCCAGTACTCTGATTACATCATATGCCGTGTGTAAAACATTGAACTTTTATTCTTTTATTTTCTGAGTTAAAAATGACAGATTAATTTTGTTTAAGGGAGACATAGATCTAAACCTTTTTTTGACTCATACAAAATTCCCAGATTTTTTCCCTTAAAACCTTTATAACGCAGAACTCTAATATCTCCAAACTGAGAGTAACTTGTGAAAAAAATTGTTATTCTAGTCTCTCGAAGTGTATTCATTTAATTTTGTCATACACCGTAAGACTTGCATATCCTGTGGGCACTGTGTCCAGTAACGTTGATAAGAAGTCATTACATAATTGAACACCTCTAATCTCTTTTTATAATTAACCTCACAACAAAGCGTCCCTTAATTCTGCTATCTTATGCAGGGCCACCTTCCTTCTAACGCGCAGGATAAAGTACTTTATATAAACATTGGACACCTCTAATCTCTTTTTATAATTAACTTCACAACAAAGCGTCCCTTAATTCTGCTATCTTATGCAGGGCCACCTTCCTTCTAACGCGCAGGATAAAGTACTTTATGTAAATCTGGAAGTGATTTGTAACAACTTCTGGTCTTAGCCGGCATATCATTTCACTACCTTACAATAATAAGGTTCTATCATCAGATATTTCTGATATTCTTGGCCGTTTTGAGTTACTAAGACCATGAGGTCAGAAAACAAATGTTTTACCTGCTCTATTATAAGTGTAAAAAGTATTACGTCGTTATCAAGATATTCAAAGAGTGTATTCGAAAAAGCTTGACATGTTGTGAAGCTCAACATTTTTTACGTCAAATTTCTCAAAACTAGGTGCTGAGCAGATT